CGGCATTGGTTTATCTGCCATCTTATGCACTCTGCGGTTGATTCGTGAGCGTCCATAACGAGGATGAACCGACTCATTTGTTTATCGCTTTGGTGGTTCTTGCATTCGTGAGGGGAACTTATTATGGCTGAATAATGAATCTACGCATCCTCGTGTTGTCCACCAAGCCGTCCCTTTTGGTTTTCTGTCGCGTTCGCGCCCGCTTCGAGCTGATTTCGAACGCGCACGCGGCGGTAGCGCGCAGCACCGTGTCGCCACGAAGAGGCCTAATGTTATTCGTGGAAGATACGGTCCCACTTTGCATACGGGCGACTTTAGTGCTCTCCTGTATGGTGGTGAAGGAGAGGAGCGAACAAGAAGCGTCCACTTTTATTGCCTCTCTGGCGTTGTTTATTATTCGATTATTTGTTGAAAAGTTGTGTGCTGATATCAAAACGTATGTTACACAGTGGATTTTATACTTTTATACTTGTGGGAATCTCGGCAATAACTGCGTGTGCGTTTTAGATATTCCCATTGCATTTTTTTTTTTTTGGTAGCTATGGAAAATTTATTCGATTTTTAAACTTCTGTTACTCGTGACAGAATGTAAAATAACTTCCCGAAGCGAAATTAATTAGTTGATAATTAAAAGTTATGAAAATTAGTAGCGACAACTTCATTTACATAAAACGCACGAAAGACTCGAAAGGCGTCATTCATGTTGGTCCATCAACATCTGAAGACTTGTACTACGGCTACCGCCTCGTTGGCGCGTCCATCATTCATGTAAATACCAGATATTCACGTTCATCTAACACCGATGGCAACCAGATACTTAATTGATCCGTGGACACCGTAATTTTTTAAATGAATACCATTTCCTTTGCGCCACGTAGAAATGAACGAAGCAGCTGACAAAAACAGCCCGAGCAGACAGTGGAATGAAGTAGCTATAATGTTGTGCAAATAAAACACTTCACATGCTGCTAGGAGAGCCCACATCTTGGGAAGACGCGAGATCGAAGATTCTTTTCAGTCAGTCAAAAAGTTAAAACACGCTGCCGTCAGTGCACACAGTAGCCGAATGTTAAATCAGCGCGCGGGGTCCATTATATCTAGACCGCGTAGTGCGGCTTTATAAATATGCTAATTAGATGGCAATTAATTGAATTCACAGGAAGTTTATTTAAAACAAACATTAGCGGCGAATGAATGGCACGAATCGATGTGTAAACGCCAAACGTACGCGTTTCAGTAGTGCAGGCATCGGATTCCATGCTCTTGTGCATTGCATAAACCAGTCCTCTATCTACGCTAGTGGTTTAAAGTGAGAATCTAACGAGATTTTTATCAACGATACGCGCACATCAAACAAGCGAGCAGCCTAATAAAACGTTGAACTTTATTGGAAACGAGGTGGTCATACTCGCTGCGGAAGCAACACCGTACCGACATTCAATGTCGACACGCCACACCATCGCGGTAAAAAGTTTACCACCGTAAATACTCAAACAATCAATAGAAAAGTAATAATTTGCTGAAAGCATTGTTCACACAGATGATTGCTTTACGTGCGTTTTACTCGTGCATGTTGAGTGGCACTTCTGATTGACGTGCGGCAATGCGTTTATTTTAGAGATTTCAGTCAATTTTCCATTGGTACCTTGGTACATCTGAAGCACTTGTATGGATAGGGAAAGCGTGCGGGTTATAGAATATTGATGTCAGAATTTGAAAATGTACAGATATGAACCAATGTTGATAAGCTTGAATGCACTTAGGTGTTGTGTAACTTTTTTTCAGTTAGTGTTAATAGTTACCGGGCAGTATTTAGAAAATTTAGGTTAGGTTATGTAGTTTGTATAGGTATTGCGTATTTTTTGCTTGTTTAATAAACAACAGTTTTATATTAAAATTATATTTGAATTAAATTCAGTTTTGCAATTAAGTCAAAATAACTACTCAAACAAACATAATATTCTCAAATATGTTAAATGACAGACAAATTAAAAATGATAAAAATCAGCAAAAATCGCAAAAACCTCAAATTTTGACAATCTGAAATCCTTAATCCAACCCTGTCGGTTATTTCAAGCCCTCTCGTGTGCATTATGTCCAACTGCATTGCCGTGTTTTTTCCGTGTGTACGCTGAAACTGTATTAGTATGCATTTATAACATGGCCCCTGAAAGAGGCATACGTGAACGTGTCGCCTGTACACATTAGCATTATGCTTGGCCTCCTCGACGATGCATTGTGCACACGGCAGGCGAATGTGCAACGCGACAGTGCCGTCCGTGTTATGAGTGACGTATTATATTGTACGCGAGCAACCGGGGTCCCGTTCGCGTGGCGTGACAGCCGTGAAATTACAATGTTCGGTTCGAAATCGATTGAACACAATGTTACACGGCGTATTATGGCGCTGGCCCCGATAATCAGACCATCATCCGCGCGCGCCACGGGTAACCAGACATCTCTCTGGCCCGTCGGTGCCCCGACCTATGATGCGAGTTTGTTACTCCCTAAGTAAATTAATACAATGATAGTGCACTTAGTGCGTGAACGAAATCCCATTTCGGATGCGGATTCCACTCATGGCTCGGGCATTTCGAGACGGGTTTCGGATGATGGACGGATATTCATGATCGTTTTTTTTTTATTTTTTACTTTGCCGCAGCGTGGTCTTCCTTTCAAACGTCGATTAGCTTTCTATAGAGATATTGGCTTGTGATGTGATGTGTTATGAAGTTATTGGTGAAAAATGGGAGGGTTGAGTGCTCATTATTTGTTAATTACAGGTGTGAAATTTCGATTCAACGCTTATCATGCTGTCGCCGTCCTGCAGGTAGCCGATGTTATTTCGCGAAGAATTTCATATCTTAATCTTGTGATGTTAGAAAATATGATACAGATGATCTGACTGTTTTTATGTTACGTCATGCTCGTGTGTGGACACATGCCAAGGTAAAAAATTAAAATTATCCAACTTGAAATAATGTGTAACGGACACTGTCGAGTCAAAGTTAATAACGAGCAGGTGAAATTCTTCAATTATTTCACGTCTCAATGCTATACCTACCTATCTCTTCTGTCACACATTGGAATCAAATTTTGAGGTAGGGTAAAAGAGGGTAATGGGGGTCACTTAAGGGAGAACTCAAATATAATTTAAATTATAAACAAAATACTTGTTGCAATCGCTTATAAGCATTGTTTACTTAAATACCTATTATTTGAAATAATTTTCAGTCACTTTGACAATCAATTTTGGATATTATTAAAGTTTAAAAAAAAAACAGATTTGACTCCCATTACACCGACATGCGGGTAATGGTGGTCACCCTGGGGACAATCGGAATCAAACGAAATCTAGCAGATATCGCAGACATAATATTCCGCAAAGTCCCACCCAGTGCATTTCACATGAGCCCATAGCCCAAATGAAGTGCTATGAACCACATTTAATTGTTTTTTAAATCGTTGCACATTAGACATCAGTTTTCCAAATCTTCATCCATCGCCCTGGCATAAGTCATCAGTGCCAATATAGGAATCATAAGTTTTGTTACTTTCCTGCAGTATCGTTTCTGCATGAAGGCTATTGAAAAATAAGTCACATTGCTTTTTATAGGCCATTTAGAGCGGACTAAAGACAAAAACGTCCATTGGGAGTCGCATGACTCCCATTGCCCACAATTGCACTATTGTGAAAAAAACAAAAAATATTTCTTCAAAACATTAATGTAATCTGAACTGCACATCACGATTTTGAATGTTTAACTAAGACTATATAAAGTTTCATTCGAATATTGCAAGATATTCGACACTTATCTTCTAATTTGCGTGGACGTAAAATTAGATCAGCGGAGCTCAAAAATAAAATATTGGCGTATCTCAATGATACACGCACCGATTTGCATGATTTTTTGGGGGTGGCACTGGGGGGCCAGAACGGAGGTAGGAACGCCGTTTACGCGGTACTCGTAACTATTGTTTCGTGGATATATGGGTGACTCCCATTACCCGCTGACTCCCATTACCCTACTCTCCCCTAATATCAATTTTTTCTCAATTTTCCTTTAAGAAAATGTAAAAATAGAAGTTATTCAAGAGGAAAGCCGTTTTCTTGATCTGAACCTACTCGGGAGGACAAAATATCAATCTATTTCGCTTATCCTCTGAACCTCTGGATACTTGAGTGTCCGAATCCCCTCATGGTCATCTCATTATTGGATGCAGCGAGGTGTGAGTTTCGTTGTCCGCCAGTAACCTCCGAAAGCACCGAGCTCAACAGTCAGATCAGACCGGAATGAATGGCTTTGGCTAAATAACTAAGCGCTTTACTGCCACTCGAATGACTTTCGTTCTTGTTACAGAAAAGAATACCGATATACAACGAAATACGTTTGAGTATATTGCTGGTGCTCTTCGTTGACAAATCAACTGGCAAATTATTTCATTTACTATCTTATTGTGTCCGTTTTACGTTCGCTGGGTTGAAAACCGTTGGGGTTTTGTCGGAGACTCAAGATGTAACGTAATGTCTGGACAGGTGGAGTACTCTCGCACTAATTAGATTCAGGTGTGTGTTTTCGCCGCAACTTTGACTTCTTTTCCGCGTTTCTCGTGCATCGGGTGCATCCACGCACGTGTGTGGCACGGCGTACAGTTAGCGGAGGCATTTTACGCGCGTGCCGGCAGCTGGAGCAGGTGAATCTGCTTGGACACGTCGTTTTCTTCCTTGCACGAGCACACGGGGAGTCTTCCACGCGTGCTCGACACCCGAAACCAAGAAACGAACGCACCAAGCACAAGCAACGGACGTTATTAACGAATCGTTTCGAATATTTCTGTATTGCGTGCGTCGTTTTTTATGTTATCGTTAATGCGTGGATAATTCTGCCCGGTGAGGACACAGCTTGGGTTGCATATTTAGTTAATGCAATAATTACATTATTTTTAAGCACATATATTATGATACTGCCTGAAAAAGTAAAGAAATAACGATGAAAACACTATTTTTAAATATTTATTTATTTATGTATCACACAAAGAGCATATACATACATCAAGTTTATTTACAAATGTAATTAATAATTATTTGTTCAATTGTTTGTCAAATTTACATTGATTTGTTGTCAATTGTTGAGTTCAATTTGCATTGGTTTCGTGTCAATTGCTTCAATCGCTATTTGATCATTAAATACACACGTCGAATTTAAAATTAATTCCCTAAACTGAACATGCAATTTACATCGTGGATTGCAATGTGGCTCAATTCACTGTATACGAAAATCAATTTTTGTTCCTATCGTCGAAATCCGCTCGAAATTTTGCTCGCATCACAATAATCATCATTGTCGATTGATCGATGAATCAATTTTTCAATGTCACAATATGTATAAATTTAAATTAAATTAATTAACACGAAATATTAAAATAAATAAGTTATAAAATAGGCATTTGTACTATATAAACATTTTCTTTTTGTTTAAATAAATTATACACTTACACAGCGAACAAAATTTCATCAGATTTTCGATTACTATCCAGCGTGGTTATAAAATTTATAAAAAAAATTGTTTGAACTTGATTGGAACGCAGTCTTTCTATAAATTTCAGTGGAACAAACCGCTGATAATGAATGCACAAACATTTGTGATTATGACAACTGAAAGGAGAATGTTTTGTTTGCGGTTGTAATTTTTGACTTACTTTTAAGAGCATCAATTCAACTTTACTGGCAATATGTTTAAAAACATTGACTTGATGTCGGCTGTGAACAAATATCAAATATCGTACATGATACTTTTAGATTGCACGTAGGTATTGTTTGTCTATTACATCGTTACATTTCATTTCGGTCGTCGTACATGAAAATGTCGTCAATTCACATTCACAATATTTCACATTTCACTTTCAATTAAATATTACTTTCGTATATTTTAATCATTTGTATTACCATTATATACTTTCACGTTTTTTTTCTTTATTTATTTACAATATTTATTTGTTATTTATATTTCATATATACGCTTAAAAAATGCTCTAAAACAATATCTAACATCTATTTACAAAGTTACAATTCTTACAATGTGGTTGGTTTTGTGTTTTGTGACAACATTACCGTTCCGTTCACGTATATTTAAAAACTTCTTACATATGCTTTATTTGTTTTTATAATTTACTTTATGTATATTTATAATCCTTATCGATTTTCTTCATTTAAATCAATTTTGTACTTAGATTATTTTACTTTACAAATCGTCGGCATATGATGTATCTGAGTATAAGATGTATCGAATTGGGTGAGATAAAAGACCCGACTAAATGTAGAAATTGGTTACTTTATACAAATGTATCTATCGGAGAGCAAACTGGAGGGCGTGGTGGTTGTGTTGTGTTGGTGTGTGAATTAGAATTGGAAAGTGTCATTCAATTTCCGCCTTAATGTTTACGTGAGCATTGGATGAATCTGTGTTGGTTGCAATTTGTGTATCGCCCGCTTCAAATTATCACACTGAATTTCATTGTTTTTTGTGTGACAATATTTTCTTTACATATTTCATAAAATTTTATATTTACACTTACTTAACTTAGTCATTACGTTAAAAACTGCTAACTTATCACGTGTATTCGGACCGCCATCCAGACTGTAACAACAAAAAACACAAATTTATTAGTTTTCTTTATTTTCCTGAGGAATAAAAAAATTTACACTTACCATTCCATTTGATGTTGTAAGACCTAAACCGGCAGCACTCAACGAGCTCATGTGATGATGATAGGAAGCGGCGGGTGGCGGCGCCGGCGGCGGCGGAGCACTGACGAAACCTTGCGGATGCCCGCCGTGCTGATACCAATGGCTCATCGCATGGTGCGGGTGTATCGCTGGATTGAGATGCGGATGTCCGCCGCCCATGCCACCGCCAAACCCACCGCCACCAAACGCGCCCTTGCTGTCCAACGGCTTCATCATGTCGCTCATCATACCGCCAAGCGACAGACACGTCCCGCCCGACTTCTTCTTCTTACTCTTTGACGAAAGTTTGCGATTTCTTGTTTGGATACCATCCTTCTTCATCGTCAGCGGTCTATTCACCTATAACAATAAAAAACACGAAATCATTAATAAACTGCTCGACAATTCAACACATTAAAGAAAAGCATTAGGAAATCAAGTCCAAATAGGGGGAATTGATGCTTTAGGTTTATAGAAACGCTGACTAGGACCAAAGGACAGGGGAGTTGATCCCTCCGGACGTGATTGTCTTTGGGTCGTTTTCGGAAATCGCTTCGCGTCGTCAAAGTGACCGTTTCCGGATATTTAGCGACACTCCCGACACATTCCGGCTCATTGCCCACCCAAAGCTTCTTTTGATTGCATTTTTATCAAGGGTTCATCAAGCGACACTTTGACTTGAATAATACTAAAAACCAGTTCATGCGCAGTTGATAGACTTGAGGAGAGAGAAGAGGCGATTTTTAGATTAATATTAATATGGTAGCTAATCTCCCGCAGTGACTTTAGTTAGATAACTAACGTATCTGTCAACTCAACCTACACACACACTTATAACTCGCTACCTGCCAACCTACCAACCAACCACATATATAGTGGTTCACTATATTCACATGCTCGCTTATTCATTCCGCTCGGAAAGAAATGAAATAAACGAGCACGTTAGACTACGATTTGTACGCGGTAGCAATGGTTATTCCAGTTTCTGTCCACGTCGTCTTCCATACAGGTGGATATCAACCAAACAACTCTATCGCAGCCATGCCATTGCAGTCAACATCCTGTATATTCAACTGAGCTACTTGTTATTTATTTAAATCGCGATCATTTATTACACTCCTCACTTGAATCGGAGATAAATCAATCATTCGATTACAAGCAGGATTTTCGCCGCTTGGGAGCACACCCTCTGTATTTAGGACATTTGTATCATCGCAGAAATGCAAAACACAAAAACGTTTAATTATATACCAATACCTTCGCTGCGTTTGGGAAATAATTACAACGCTTGACAGATAATAAAAGGATCTAATAAATCGAAAAGTCTCGGCTACCGGTCGGCGTGCGGCTTGTTACAGATTTATGAAGTGAGAGCGCGCACGCAGTCGGCATAATTTTTCCCAGCCGCTTTTGGACGCTGAGGATCCGAAACGTGTGAGGGTAATTTTTCTATTCGAAGCCGGCGGGTGCGCCCATCTTGTAGGTACGCCACTTGTTAACTAGAACGTTTTCCAATTAATATAAATCAAACGCCACCACAAACACAACGCTTTGTTATTGCTTTAAAAACGTAATAGGAACCTGAAATTTCCGAGTGCGAGTTCATTACGCTGCACACGCGCGTTTGTTGCGAGGAAGGATATTGATCATTCGGTTCGGCTACCGTTCGATTCTCAGAAGTAAAAGTCGTAATTTATCGCCTTCATCAATATATGCTCGCGCGCGCAAGCTCGTGTGCGTATGTATGTATAATTGCTTATTACCACAGCTGCATTTACATGTCGGATGCATGCACGAGGTCTTGCAATTCTGTAAATTCACAGCTGTAAATTTTAATTTTAATTTTGCATTTCAACAAACGATATTATCGGTATTCTTTCATGTTGTTGCGTCTTCTTTTGCTCGTATCTAACCTAAAATACATGCGCACATTTTGATTCATAAATGGTTAGAATATTTTCGCTATTTTACACTTGTATTGATACTCGATACCAAATTGGAATTTGCCTAGGGTCAAGAGAAAGCAGAAAAAGAAACTGCGCGCGGCGTCGCGTCTGTTGATGAAACAAAGCGCATGTGATTTCGGAGTGCTTTAGAGTGCGCCTGAGCATTATAATTATGAATTAATCATCGCTCAATTACACACCATATGCCGCAGCGATTGTCGATGATTTGTAGAATATATTCAGAGATGTTTGCCGACGATACGTCGTGGCAAAAATCATAATCGCGATTATGGCCGATCGTTATCGTTGATTAAGTGTTTTTGTTGTACAAGATTGCGCAAAAATATTTGAAACTTTCATCGTGCACACCAAAGTTATATGTGTGTATATATGCTGGTGGTGGGTGAACACAAAGGGAGCTGCGATAATTGCGTGGAAACGATGTGTTTCAGATAAACAAAAGTCAATTAAAAACATTTCCTTTCCCCGCACACACGATACCGACCAGTGCATAAAATGTTGAATTCTTTGTTTGGCCCCGTTGTTAACTTCCAACTTTAGGTAACTCACTGTATGACGTGTTTGCTTTTAACCAGTACAAATGTTGGCATTTTGTTGTTACAACATCAGGAGGCGCGGGTTTGTGTAAAAGCCGAGTAGTAAATTAGTCGAAACGCAATTAAAGTGTTAATGAGTTGGATGTTTAATGATTTTTCGGGGTTTGGTTTTGAATCATCGCGTTACTTTCGGTTCAGACTGTGGCTACTACTTTGTGGGCGCTGCTTAATTGTCTATGTCCCCGAATGTGACCAACATTCAGTTCGTTTGGAAGCGCGCTCGAATTATTATGCGTCCACCGGCAATATATTACACTAACGCTGACATTTACGAAAACATATTTCAACTTCGAGCTTTATACACACATAGATGTGTGTAGATGCAGCACGGTAAGAGATTATATCGCGTGTAGTGGATGAAAACGCGAAAACTAATTTGGGACCAAGACGGTTGACAGTGTATGAAGAGCGCACTTGATGTATTACCATGTTACCCGAAAAAGCTTCCGTATTCCTCCATTACCCGTCCATTAGCAGCTTCACGGTTTAAATACCTACAGCGCTGTAATTATCACCGCGAGACGTAAACGGTCTCAAAATCAAGAAGAAAGAAGGCATTTTATTGTTAGTTTTGTGCAGATTCCGCGAACTTGAATGGAAATCGAGCGCATTGTTGCGGCTTCGCGCTGAAGTAAAAAATAAAAAATCAGCTCTACTCCGGTAGTTCAATGGCGATGCGCGCGCTCACCTATGGCGCAGAGCATAACTTAGAGAGAGAATCTGTATGTTATCACGTTGATCTGACCCGATCTGCTCTGCTTATTACGACAGGCTTCAATGTTGTGTGCTTTATACGCGGGCGCGCGCGCGTTGTTCCCGTAACAAATTGTTATTGTTGTTTGGGTAACGACGCCATGGCCGCTGTGGGCGTATGCGCACTTCCATACTTTATCGCTGTAAACGTTATAATTTCGAGTGCGCTCACGGTCGTCGACGCCGGCCACTTAACGAAAAATTCCTAGGGAAGAAACGAGAAGTACACTTTGAAGAAATTCGATATGACATCAAAAATTGCGCCGCACATATTCAGTCTTCGACAATTTTGTCAACAAACAAAATGTCCTTCCGATCTATTCAACCTATTGTGTCACTAAAAGTATCAATTCACTTTCTAAGTGCTCAAAGTACTCGAAATCTTTGTTGAGTGTATAATGATAGACCGGCCTTGTTTGTTTGACGTCCGGGGGTTGGAAACGACGAAAATTACACCCATAGTGAGATGTTACACAAAGATAAATGTTTCTTGAAGACGCAATTGTTGCATGTTACAAAATCCGATACTCTTGAAGTTACTTTTGTTGCATTTCATGTATCGCTTTAATTTCACTCTTTTTAATCACAACAAGATGTAGCACACATAAAGGCGCTCATTCATTCAGTAGTGCGATGACCGATGTGCACACAGCCTGCGCGGCGGATGGCGAAAAGGTTCACTTAAAATGTTAAATAACCGGCAATTTGCGACCGTCTAGCTCTCTGGCTACCACACTACAATTACGTTTTTTTATAAACGCGAATTTAATGTCGGATTCCCTACGCTTTATTCAATTCAAAGTGGTGTGAGCTTTGAGACATGCAGTAAATTTAATTAATTGTAATAGGGCGGCACAATTTTGTTAATTTTCTAATAAAATTTCATCGCGAGGTTGTGTTGACGGTTGCAGCGCATTGATTCATGTCTGCATGCAAGGATGCAACAATGCGCTGTTTGTTTAATTGAGAAAATTCGCCGGCAAATTGGAAGCGCTTTACCATTTTGAGAATGCAATTCGACACGAAACAATGCGAATAATTTATGGATAGCGCGTATATGGTTAGATAGTTAGAGGAACGCATTCATTGTTAGACAATAAAGAGCGTTTGCAGCTAATATTGCATATCAGTGCCGCGGAAGATTTTTGAAAAAAGAGGTAAAATTGTAGTGGTTAGCTGGGATCTAATGCGACCGTTTGTGGTAAGCGCAGCAAAAGGAAGAGACAAGCTCGCGGGCTTGCGGTTAAAATAAGTGGCAATAAGGTAAACCGCAAAACGGCCATAAAACAAAACCAACAAATGCGACAGGAGTGTATTTACGGTGTGATGTGCGGATGGATAATTCGCTCCTGTGATAAATATGCAGGTTTAACTTACGTTGTGCAGTTTGTAGTAGAGTCCGCAGGCGTTGCAAACGGGTTCTCCATTCTGATTTCGCCGCCAGAGGGTTGTCGTCGTCGTCTTGCAGTTTGCGCAGCTGGTGCCCGCCCGTCTCGCCGCGCTTTGTAAGCTCTGCAAGGACAATAAGAAAAAACATGTTCGTTAGTTTTTCCGCTCACTGCGCCTCCCCACTGCCGAGGAGAGTCATATCACATCGTGAATGAGATGTGTTATTTTAATTGAATCGATCGGCGCGATGTTTGATAAACGCAGTGCCGGCGCACTTGAGAGCCCTTTTTACCGCCCGACCACTCGAACAACAAACGAATCGGATCGGGTGAATAACAAAAAAAGTGCGCGACGATGGCGATAGGATCGGCATGTTTGGAAGGCAGGTACACCATACTTGTCTTTCACGAATGCCACCACATCAAGCGAGAGAGAATCGTGTGTGACAATAAACCACTTAACTAAAATGATGATTCCTTTGAGGCTCTGGACACACCACGCGTACATATGTATACTGGCGGGCTCGGTGTCTCCACAAAGCCGAGCCGAAACCATCCGAGCAAGAAACATGCATGCATAGCGCGAACGCATAGTTGCATTCATTAAAACAAGCGCGGCGCAATGAAAGAAGTGAGTTTGGAGATGCGAGTTTTGAGTTCGCCGACGAAAATGCATCATCGAGAGGCCTTCTATTGTCGCTGCGCGCTCGGGTTAAAAGCTTTTTGACATATTCTTTTTAATTCCCGCACGCTCTTCAACTTCACGTGGTTTATGTCAACCTGACACAACCTAACCTAGTTTTTAAAAATTTGCCACGTCATTTCGTGTTTGTCTGCTGCAATATAGATTATAACTAAATGCGACATTCCTTTAATATGTTCAATAGTGATGATCCACTTGCTCATTCGGGCGAGATGCTATCAGAACACTCGCAGGACGTAGCCATTACAAACATAACCAACAAATCGACATTGTAATGTTACGAACGATGCTTATATTCGTCGCAGACGTAGCCGGAGTGACAATAGTACAACAAAATGGAAATGCATTGACATGCGATCCAGAGGACCCTACGATGACGAGAGTAGAGAGCTGAGAGCCAATCGACAGGCATGATGGTCGCGTGCGTGTGTGCACTTGTCCGTCCGATACATGGCGAACCGAAACGAGGTGATCCATGTATGCGTTCAGTTCAAACATGCGCTAATTCTCTATTGCTATTGATTAGCTCGTAATTACCGCAATATCTGATCCTGCATGCCCGACGCGCGACACTCGCGCGCAATTTACAAAGTTTACACACATGAAAATCAATTTTTGCGCTTTACTTGTGTGTATGAATGATTCTGGTATTTGTTTGTTAGCTGTCATGTCTATTGTGTAACGTGTGCGCCGTTACACTTCTCTCGGTGTAAATTGGGTTGCATAATTATGGGCTATTTATGAAAATTGCTTTTCTATGAAGCCATCATACACGATTCAGCATGATGTTAAACGGAGGAAAAGTAGTCTGCGAGCGTGTTACGAAATTGTATTCACAATAAAAAGAAGCACGAATCGATTTTCTCGTTTCGGAGTCACCAGACTAGAAAACTATACGCGCGCGAACTGCGGACTTTGTTGTTCCGGCAATAATGGTAGGCGTCGGCTAATGCGTTTTTGATATGCTCGAACAAGAGAATCTCTCGATTCTATTTATCTTGTAATCAATCAAATGGTGGTGATTACACCGTGTGCGCGTGCGCAGTCAGCCTGAATTGTATGCCAACGTTTTGTTAGATGATTGGATGTTTATGTACTGGGCCTAAATTTCTTCACCCCCATGCAAACTCGTCTATTTCTTGACTACGTGCAGGAATAAAAGGGGAAAGGCCGGGAAGGGTGGTGCGCAGGAAGTCTCGACGCCGTCGTCTGCAAGGATATCGCATGAATGCGGGGGAGTGGGCGAGAAGGAAGCGGGGGCAAAGCCGCAGAGGATTCTCGGCCGTATAAGCACATTACGGGCGTTATCGTGTCTGCCATCGCGATCCAATTAAATTTGACAATGGGTTTAACGTTTGGTGACATCGAGTACAACATTCGTTCCCGCGCAGCGTTCAACACAAAGCACAGCTCGCGAAACTAAATCAAAAGTTTCGACTGTTTATTTTTCATTATTACGCTTGCGCGCTGGAATTCTGTTCGCATTAATGTGTAATATGTTAATCGAAATCGAGTGTCCGCCGTAAATGCTGAGAATGTGGTGGCGAAGCACATCAGACATTTTAGGTGTACGCGAAGTATGCCCATTCGCGCGCGCGCGCACACGACGAGCAAGCAACACACCATACAGTCTCCCTGTGCCCGGCTGCAATCAGTGCTGCGTTTTATTTTTATTTTCCTTCGCTCCGCTTCGTGCGCATTGACATCGCTGAGCTTTTTTTCTGCGCGCTGGTCGTGTTTTTTTTATCGTCGCGGACACAATAAAACACCACCTCACCGACGCGCAGGCCTCCTGCGAGCTGCAAGTTCAGGTTCTTCGGTTGCACAATTCTCGGAATCGCATTATGCTCGCGCGAGGCGTCCACATTTTTACGTGTCACCTTCCCGTCCTCGCGCTGGCCTGCGATCCTTTGGAACCATACGGTCCACCAGTGTCCGAGGTCCAAGCATACCAGCCAACAAGAGCACGTCGAAAACAATAAAATGATCCACACTTTCGTCGCCCATTATGTTCTTCACTTCGGTGTCGCGGCGGAATGAAACGAGGCGCGTAATTTTTTTTCGTTTGTTTTTAATTATATCGATGCACGCCGCCGACTTGACGATTAACGAAAACAGTAACAAGCCGTTTTAATAATAACATACGCTCGTGTCGCAATTCGGTGTGTGTAAAACGTGCGTACCAAAAACAACGCGTTGTAAAGCTATTAACGGAACCAGTTTCGCATAAATCCCGCTTTAAATTAAATTCTCATCGGCGATCGTTTCCCACCAATCCCTACCGAAACTAATCGCCCGATGTATTGACGAACGCACAACGCATTTTTTTTATTTATCAATATATAACAACGGTGGAGCATCGCATCATTTTTTTGGTTTGTAATTTGTAATTTATAATAAATCGAGACACGATACTGAGAAATCATTTCGTTTCGTAAGCGATATGGGTGGATGGGAGGTCGAACGCGTAAGACCCACAAGATCATCTCTCACACACTCAGTTGAAAAGGTGTATAAAATAAAATATCGAAAAATCTCACTTTCCATATGCGCTCGCCAACGAGCGCTCGTATAAAAAAGATCATTAAAAGCGTTGTGGCAAAGCAGAGAGCAATAATTACAGAGTAAAAATTAAGAGGGAATCTCGGCGCTCGATGTAAACACCACACTTGCGATGTCATATGGGCACGACCCATCGACCAGCACCGATACACACCACCATCCAACACGTTTTCACGTCGACCGAGAGCGCCGAGATCTTGCTCCGCGCATCGAGAGTTTATTAAGTAACGCCTACCTATTTGAAATTTGATTTACTACAATCGATGGCAGGTGGGTTCCTTTCGCGTTTCCGATGTGAACAACATCCGATGCCCCAATGATCGAAACAATTTTTCACATGGGGCGCATCGATTCACCTGTTCGCGCTATTGAATAAAAGCAAATAGGGCAAATGCCACTATTAGAAAATTATGTCCGACTTCCGGCGCGATGCAGATGCACACGCGCGCAGACGTTGGAAGTGCTTTGTTGGCGCGTGCCGAGGATGATAATACAGTCATCAAGACATAATGAAATTGTTTGCCCTTATTCGTCTTCGACAAGCGTGAATAATTATTTAATTTATTTAATTACAATTGATCGAAAAAAATATAACCGTGTTTGGAGGTTATATTTACTTTTGTCCGTTATATCGGATATTTTGAGGTTAAATTAAAGTCGCGCGGTGCCAATCGCAGAATTTCTCTCCGCTTCGATTCACCGCAACCAGCATAGAATCATATCGGCGGTGATCTACACAGATCGATATCGACGGCATCCATCTGCCCGTCAATCAGTGCGTCTCGCGTGTCAATCACGCGCGGTGGACACTTGTTATGCCTTGTCCTACACGGCTGTTTTATAACCCGGCCTTCGCTAAACAGCCGAACGCATTCACATATCTTCGGCCGCGCATTACAATCGCGTCCAGCGTTTTAACCCATGTTAAAATAAAATAAAGCGCACGAGATTGCACGGCACGATTGCGCTCGAACAATGCGCACAAAAAAGGACCATCTTGAAAACATCTTAAAAAGTAATCCAGGCTGGTGATTAATGATTAATTATCGCAGCGCATTATGAAAAGTCTAAATCTTCGATTGAATAATTAATTAATTTAAAACTATTAGTCACTATTCGCCGTGCACGTCCGATCGATCGGGAGGAAAAGCAAGTAGAGGAAAGACGATTACCTACGTTTTCTATAATTTATTTACGAAATGAACAGTTAGCCATCGACATTCGGAGAGTGCGCGTACGTCGAAGCATTGAAATTAATTACGTTGCACGTTGTTGAGAAATGAATGGCAATGACCATTAATTATTTACGAACGTATTTAATGCGAGCGCTCTATTATTAACGTTCGTATATTATTTTAATCACAATTAAACGCGCTATACAAACACACAACAAATCGACTATTATTAAAATGCCACTTAATTAATAATTACCTACATTTTATTACGAGCGCTTTTTTTTATTATCTAACAATAAATATTTGAGTGGTACTAAAGTTTTTTTCTTCTTTTGTGCTCAAACAACCCTTAAAAATCTTTGGGGTCTTTTGACTTGTAGTATAAAAATAAAAATATTTTCAGAGTAAACAACTTGAGGGCTCTAGAGTCTACAGCCTCCAAAAAGGGCTACTGTATAATTGTAGTCGCATATATCTTATCCTCTTGACAAGTATGCGTAGGTAAAACCTGAGATAAGTGCGCACGGTGGTAGTTTGCACGTCGTCGTTGGAACGCGCGTATATTTTCGGCATGACTTGCAAATATGACGTCTTAATTGGACTCATTAGCAGCGCGTTGTTTTATTAACGAGTTAACAAGGCTTTACGGGCCGGCGCGGCGTTATCGCGATCGATGAGCCGAGATGATATTGTCC